GTTTGTTGTCTGAGCCTCACATGTGCCGCAGCTTGTCTCGTGTGTCCCCTGCAGGGAGCACACATAAAAACAGCAGCAGAGCTGAAACCAGAGAGAGCAGAGGGCGCAGAGTGACCCAGACGTCCAGACACTGTCCTGACGGGGCATCAATCCTGCTGACCCCCCACCACCAGCAGCTAAAACAGGAGCGACACACTACGTGCTTGTAAACATGCCTATAAAAGTCCTGTTTGTACTTCCACACAAGCTTTGTTCCAGCCCCTCATTTGCAACTTCAGTGACCAACATGCAGCCTCCATGCTCCGGCCGAGTAATGTGAGAAGTACAGCGGATTAGTGCAGCTATCTGCGGGGAACCTGGATGCTCATTACCAAAATGCACAACAAGGAAAAACTGCACAAGATTCAGGGATGTTGCTCATTCGTTAATTTCTCCTGAATTGAAGTTCAAGTTTAAGATACGGCCTGTAAAAGAGCAGGGACATTGTAACTTGTGGTGACACAGTGGGTAATGCTCACACCTCACAGCAGGAAGAGGGGTTTGACCCCTAAAAACATTTCAGGTCGACTAATTATTGAGAATTATATCAATATTTGCTAAACCGAAACAGTGCCAGTAATTCTTCACATAGGTTTCCCTGTCAGGGCATGTGCGAAATATTTAACTATACAGGCTCTCCGGTAAAGGGGACTCACTATCAGAACTGTTAGAATGTCCCACACTGTCCAACCTCAAACCAAAACTGTGGATGGTAGAGAGCCAAGTTTGTTTTTTGTTTTTTTGTAATTGATTTTTCTCTGAACTCTCAAGTCAATGTATTTCAGTGTATAGCCCTGAAGCACAACAGTAGAGGAAATTAACTCTTTATTTGCTCTTATCTGGCATAATTATGTGGCTTTAAAGATGCTCATTATAAGGCCCTCTCCTCATCAAACAATATTAATCTTACAACAATATATTTCATAATTATTTTCTATTGAATAAATTGACAGAAAGAATACAGTATATTTATTCACACCTACTGTATTACTGGTCAAACGTTCCATTATTAAGGACATTGTGAGACTATTCCTGGTCAGAACAGCTGGCTTGGGGCCTTGCTGCTCGAGTTACCACTGCTGCTGAGATGGACAACACTGACTTTTTCCCATTCAATCCCATAAGCCCCCAGTATAAGCCCCCGGTCCCCTGGGCGGACGGGGCTCGAATCAAAGCACTCAGAGTGGACAGTTAAAGTTTACATCTTACAGTTATAAAGAGGACTCACAGAGGCAAAAAAAATGCAAAATACTGATCACACTGTATGATCTATCGATGAAATTAATTTGTGTGAAATATTATGGATTTATCCACCAATAATTTCTTTGATTATTAATTACTTGATTATTTGGAACACAAATACATGTTTTACCTCAGTTTGACCGACATAAAGCTGAAGTGAAGCCACCAGAGGAGATCAAATGTTTTTTTAATAGAGTAATGATATCTGATTATATTTCACGTAAGTACTGCTTTTTTTAGGCTTAAAATAACATCTCTTGTAGTAAAGGGTTTCTTACTGACCAAGAGTTGGCCAGTGTGCGGGTTTGTTTTGGGTAAGTCGCTAGGATACGGTACCAGATTCAAAAGTGTAAACGGAGCCAGGTAGAATGCACAAGAGCCGAGTAGACAGCCATGTGGGATGAGTGGAAACAGGACTATATATGTTCCAAGCAGGACTATAATATATAAATATAGTCGGATGCAATGAATGGCCCATGTCTTCACCAAACTGCACCATCTGGGCGTAGAAAAGGGGGCGCTATTGCACTCTTTACCTGCTGGTTGTGCTGTGGCTTTGGAGATCTTTTTTTTTTTTTTTTTAAAGGAATGTAACTGCATCTCTTGAGAGATGTCTGTGCTCTACGGGGCTTCACTAGTTATAATACTATACAATATGAGCTTTAATACATGTGCAGTTGTTATTAAAATGCAAAAGTGGCACCAGAGTGACTAAATTAGCTAAAGTTTGAAAACAATTACCTATTTGAGGTGAAAAATATTTGAATAAAATCAAATGGTCTTGAAACCTTGTTTTCAGAGTTACACTCGGGTTAGCCTCCAATAAGTGCTCACTTCAGCCTGAGCCCTTTCAGTCATTTGCCTTGTTTTTGGAATATGAAATGAGTGAACAAAAAACTACTACTACTACCACTATGTTTCCAAACAGAGTGCAAACATAAAAGAAAATTAAGCAGTTTTCCTGACTCTTCTTTAGAAATATATAAGATAAGATAAGATAAGATATACTAAATGTGCAAACATGTTAAATGCAGGATATATTATGTACAATAAAAAGTGGCAATTCAAAGTGGCAATCAAGAAACAGTGTCAATAGTACATAAACACAATATGGTTTTCTTCTGAAACATAAATAAAATGTGTTCCAGTTTATATCTGTATGTACATCTATTATAAATCAGTTAGTGAACAATACACTGCTAACACTAATAATAATTACAGAGTCAGTCCCCAGTGAATTTGCCTTGTGCTTGTGGACTGTGGTTCTAGATATGAACACAGCCCCCCCACCCCCTCACTCCCCCACCCCCCAGTCACAAGATGCCAGTGTACGGTTAGAACAGAGATGAGCTGATACTCTTAGAATAGTCCACGGAGGCTCAGGCCCCAGCAGTGACCCTGGCCTGCATTCCACTTGGCAGACACACAGTTGTTGGGTCAGACAGGGTTCTATTGCGGGACAGGGACAACACGATCCATGGCTGGGTGGCCATGACGCAATGCAACCCATAATAGTATCACTCGAAAGAGGGAGGAAGGAGCAGTCATTTGATCTTTGAAGTTTTAGGCCAATTGTAAGTGTTATTTGTCTAATCTAAAACAACCATAGAGTAAGTCGGTCTGTCTTGGTTAACCCGTGTCTCTCAGTCCATCACACCCTGCACCGCACACTTGTCCCAGACCGGCTCCGTAAATATATCTCTGTTTCTTACGTGATACATGCCTGGAATAGCTTCCAAAGGGAATAAAGGGATCTAAATACAGCAGGATGATTTGGAGTAGGGTACACGGGTCAGGGGAAGGTGAAGAGACACATGAGAGGGGTCCATGGTCTTTAGGTTTACAATCATCAAAACTCTAACTATATAATGTTTGTGATAATAGGGACAATACCATGATAGCAGATTGTGAGGAAGAGACATTTTGCATTAAACAATCATGTTTCTAGAAATAAAAAATCAAGGCTAGGCTCACACTCAGAGAGCAGCCGCCCTCCTGTGGACTCACCACCTGCAGAGGGTCAGTGAGGGGCTGGTGCTATGAGACTTGGGTGGCATCTCTGACTGCCACCCCCCTGACCCAGAAATGGATTAAAGGGTAGAAAATGGATGGAAATGGATGGTTTCTAGAAATAGTTTAATGCTGAATACGCAACTTGGCGTTCAGTCAAAAGTAGAGGACAAAGAACCTCGACAATATACCGACTGACCGATGACTGACCGATTTATTTATGTTTCTGAAATATCAACCATCAGCCGTATCCAGCTGACGCAGTCTTCTTTATCTGTGGTCCAGTTTTTGTTAAATCATCTGAACGAATCAAGTTCAAAGTTTGTTCGGAAAAACCTACCAAAAATTATATTCTAAACCATATTCAATAAAGTAAACATTTTGTAACAATCTGACATGCCTTAAATTGTTATTTATGATCTATTTAAATCGATACATCAACATTGTATGGATGTGTGTGTGTGTGTGTGTGTGTGTGTGTGTGTGTGTGTGTGTGTGTGTGTGCGTGTACATATGCGGGTGATCTGCATTCCTTGTGTTACTATAGATACTAATACATGCAGGTGAAGATGATCATTTCATTATTCACAGATTTAAGATGGCAAACATCTAAATTATGTCTCAATAACACAGAATTATTGGATAACAGATGTTGCATTCACCAAAATTGCAATTACTCCAGACAGCAGTCCCAACAGGATGCGGCTAAGTTTTAGACAAACACCGCGTTGGCTGTGAATATGGAGATGGAGCTCTGATGGTGTCCCCCTGTGGGACAGACTTTATGGAGTGCAGTGGAAGTGTTGTATGGACTCTGCCTTTTATTTTCAACACCCTACTCCCAGGTGGTGACAGCCCAGTGCTAAGTGTGGTAATAGCCAATTGATTTTGTTCTTTTTTTTGTTGGTGGCCAGACATAAATCAAAGCGTCTGTCAGGACCTCTGTGTAGTGGAGAGTGTGGTGGCCCTGGTGTGTGTGTGTTATAGGGCAGTGTGGCTTCTGTTTGGACTGGGGATGTGTCAACAATGAGTCCAGCCTCTGATCTGCAGGCCACCGCTCCTCTGACCTGTGTCACAAACCAATTGGGACTGTAGCTTCAACCATAGCCTAGGAACAACTTTGATACCGTCACAGAACAGGGAGAGACTGCAGTGGTATTTTTCAACAACAACAAACAAAGAACATTTACAAACACACCTGTTTTCCGAGAAAAGCCTAAATCACCTTGGTTCAATTTATTGTGAGCATATCTGGTAATAGGTTCAAATTGCCACTTTTATGGTTAGTGTTTTTGTCAAGATTTAAAAATTGTCACAATTCTGCATTGTAAATTGCTCATTTTGCCCTCAGACAAAGGTTTCAGTGTGTTCATAAAATGGCAATAAAATCTGAATAGATAAATGTTTAAACCAAGAATGTCTTATAAAAGATGGCTCATCCATTAAAATGTAGAATTTGTTTGTGAAGAGCAGTTCTCAGAAACCCCCCTCCCTCAGGAATCCAGGCACAAGGAAGAGGTGGAATCATAGAGAACACAGATGCAAGCAGCACTGCACCATGTTAATCCTTTTAATTCAATTATGATAAAGAGGGACAGCGCTTCCCTCAAAACAAAAGCCCACATGCGGGATCGGGGCCGGTGCTGGTGGGGGATCCTCTGATGTAGACCGCCACACTGTGGGAGGCCCCTGGTCTCCTGGGTTACCTTCTAGCTCCTCAAACCCCCACTGGGACTGCTCTGGCTAAGACCGGCCTGGCTCAGCACAGCTCTTCCAAGTCGGATGGCAGCGCTGGACAATATGAGACAATGTGCTCTGAGCCACACACAGCTGTGCTCCTGCAGACAGAGCAGGTCGAGGGGAGGCTGAGGTGGGGGGCTGAGGGGAGAGGCGTAGTGGCGTGTAATGTGTGGAGATAGAGCATTAAAAGGGGATCTGCCAAAGTGCTTTGGGGCCTCGCTCACTCATTCCTTGTGAAATAGTTCTTTGCAGCAGTAACCTGCAAACCGCCAGACTGACAGCACCTCCTCCACTCTGAAAGAGAGGATCTATTCTTTAGAATGAACACAGGACAGAGGGGGCTGAGAAAGGGAGTATGTTTTCGAAACAGTTAGACAATCTGTTTGGATTAGACCCACAGCCAAAGAGACATGGAAATGATGGGCAGTGTGAGGGGAGGAGAGGAAGACTGGGGCAGACAGATGGAGAGGAAAGGTGCTGCTGGAGGTGCTGTGCTGGGAGAGGGGACACAGGGTCGGGACTGGAATCTCTTGATCTGAGGCTCTTTTGGCCTGATGGTTCCCAGATGTTGTGGATCCCCCACCCCTGTGTGTTTCGCACTGCAGTGAATACACAGGAGTCCAGTTAGCTGTGCAGGACAGATGGGTCAGTGGCTGTACGGAGATGGGCCTCCTGTGAACCAAAAATAAAAAAAGAGCAGAGAGGCATGGGCGCCCCTCAACTGCCACAGGCCAAAGGCTAAAGCTGCCTCTGTTTTCTTATACTCCTTCACTGTGTGCTCAGCAGGCACACATGCATGCCCTTTCATTTTGCCATTTGCACTTGGGTGGAAGAAAATGCAAGTCTAAAATATACACATTAATACGTATACACTGCTTTACTAGCAAGAGTAGTTTTGTCATGTCAAACTGCACTGCACCTTATTTATCTTTAGAAACTGTGTTAAATGAGTCTACTGCTTGAGTATGTACAAATGCATTTTCCTCTGCTTTTGCTCTTATAAATATGACATTATTCATCCTAGATAGAAACAGAAAGTTAGAAAGACTTGATTCTGATACTAATAAAAATGTGGCTTTCAGCTCTGCAGTTGAAACATGTTAATTCCATCACAACCAAGCAGTGGCCTAAGGAGTAAAATGTCAAAATTTCAGTCTGTCTCACATTTTTGCATACTTCACGGCACGTTGCGATTTACACTGTGGTCCCAAGTGCACCTGTCACTGTAAATATGGTCCACAGCATTCATGCGAGCGTCGTGAAAATATAGATTTAGAAACACCTGAGGCTTCATGCTCAAAACATGATCTCAAACATCGAATTCATCCTCGGAAATTACATGGTGACTGCACGGCAACCTGTGGCACTTTAACAAAACAGTGAGGACAATGTGCTGAATAAGCAGGTGCCTGGTCAGACTGAGGAGTGCTGAAATTCTAGCGGAGTAGATTTACAGGCTCTGGCCACAGACAGCCATGTTTCAGAGTGACACTGTGTTCTGGTGCACCTATCTGCTAAAACACTTACTACTCCACACCGCCTCTCCCGCCTCCACACTCACAGCCTCTGCAGCCCCGCTAAGTGCTGCAGCCGTATATTAGCAAGTTGTTGACTGGCCAGTGAAGCACACATTTGTCAACATATTACAAGGTGTCAACACTTGAACAACAGCCCTTGGGCCCATCCAGATTAGCACACAATCACCTCCATCCTGCTGCGAGACAAAAAGACATTTTCTTTCGGATATGTGGTCATTCTAGTCACATATGGTGCGGGACATCCTATACCCCGTGTTCAGAGAGGATCCCCCGGTGCAGGAGATGGTATTTTGGGAACATCACGCCAATTACAGAAGGCTGGTAATGAGAATCTGTGTGTGATGTGAGACTGGGGGAGCCTTTGGATCTAACACCACAGCTGGCCCATGTCAGTCCATGAGCTGACCTCTACACCCCCACCACAAAATAAAGTCTAGACTCTAGTGTCTGTCTGCGGTGAACATGTCCAAAGAAGAAGTAACTTTTTCCCCCAATGGATCTACTTCAAGAGAACCTTCTCAGACTTTTTTACGCTTTGCTCTTTATGACAAGACATGGTGTCTATTAAGTCCATTAATAAATAAAGCAAGGCAATAGTGTCACCAAAGAAACAGATATCACACTATTACTTATTTAACTACTGCAATCAATTATTTATTGTTTATTCCAAATGTTTTTTCAAGTGTACTCTTTCAGCTTGGGTATCCCATGGGCTCTGCAGAGGCTAATGATTTGGAGAGCCCACTTGAAGTTAAATAAGTTTATGAGAAGGAGTGTGGAGCTGCTGTGTGAACTACTACAGGGGGCTGGGGATGACGCTTGATGATAATGTTTGTGACTTCAAAGATAAAATGCTCCAAAGTCCACAGCCAAACGACATTAAGTACTCACCAGCAGAGCCCTCTCTTCCTCTTTCACACTCATTTACCCTCCACGACGTCCAGGCGGCTCCTGAAACACACAAACCCATAGAGACACATCATTTCTCAGCTCCAGTGGTCTTCTGAAGTCTGTTTACCATCAAACCAATAAACACCAAATTTGGCCCGTTTTTTGGCTCTTCAATTTCGTAATTATTACCTCCAGAGTTAAAGTGCAGACAACAGAAGCTGGAGCAGTAAAGGCTAAAATCATGAATACTGGTTTGCATGTTGTGTTGCTTTAATCTATTTAGTATTACAGTAAATCGTTTTTTTGTATTTTGTGTGAGAGCAAATAATCCTCTGGACACCAAATATTGCACCACAGGGTGCCAGTTAAGACTCTATTAGTAGTATATTAATATTCTGGTTTGATAAATATAGCATTTATTCTCAAATCAATTCCATATTCTGTTGGGATTCAGCAACAGGCAGAGCAACTGTCACATGTTTCTGCAGTCATCTAGATTTTCTTGGAGTCTGTTCCAGTCAAAAGTTGATAAAAGTTTGAGACTTTTACAAGTCTGAGCGGAGTCAAAGTGCTGAGCCATGAATCACAGCCTCTCCAACCACAAGTTTTTCTTTTAAAGGCATCAACATCAGGATTAAAACATGAAGGAAAAATCATGAACTGATTTCTTTAGATCCCCTACACTGTCTTTTTGAATTGGTGTAATGAGATGCACTGTATGTTGCTCTTGATACAGTTTAAAAGTGAAGTATCTGGGAGTAGTTGGGTTGAATAAGCTAATTTCTCTGAAGTGCTCTTTAGTGTAAAGTGGTGCTAAAACTCTGGCTGGTCCCACTGCCTGTTCCCCAAGGAGAGGTGAGATACTAAGCCTGGTCCTCCGCCTGCCTGAGCTGTATCGATGCTGCAGAGGGAGATTGCATAACCTGACTGTGTAAAACAGTCTTTTACGGCATTGTAAAGATTTACAATTGAAGTAAATAACGGCATGAGAACAGGGCTTTTAAATGGAGCCCAATCAATATGTCAGAGGAGGCTGCGGCACAGGACAAGCCGGTGTCTGCAGTCACCGCTGCACACAGCAGTGCACCAAACAGGGACACTGGACCTGACTACACAGGGAACTGTAGTGCCCTTATGTTTCACGCTGTGCTTTCAGAGTAGATTTCAGCAAGATACAGTTTGCATGTGATGTAATATCAGTACAGCTAATAATGCTTGAGTCTTGAGCAACATTCACACTCATGTTAAATTCACCTTTCTTTTGGAGATGCACTTGGACCTGCCATAAATCTGCAGTCCAGTGAAGGCAGCCTTGGTGCACACACTGATGGTCCCTATAGACACTCACACATTCACACAGAGACACAACGGCCTCAAGAGCAATAAATCGCACAGCCCATCTAACAAGTTCATTTCCGGAGGCCAGAGAGGATGGGTCCTCTGACTCTGGAGTCAGCAGCCTTGTGAGGATCAATGGCAAGAGACACAGAGCGAGGGGCAAGGCATCGAGCTGAGATACAAAAATCAATCAGCGATTTAATGGCTTCGGTAGAGAAGACGAAAAAAACGAGGACGAAAGAGAATTCCAGTGCTTTTTTTACTTAAAAAAGCAGCACTTTGATTTAACCCTTTGACATACAGTATACATCTCTCTGCTTCATTAAAGCATTTTCCTATGACAGGAAAGTCTGATCTGCAAAGAGCTATTTTCAGACGTAAGATCACACAGCCAGTGTTTCTTTTAAGACGTGGTTAATGTGTTTGTAGTAGAGGCATATGAGAAAACAAGAAGGAATTTGCGGAAAAATTATAAATAAACAAATTCAATATTGTTGCCTTAATAAAGCTAAGAGATTAATCTTTTGAGCAACAGCAGTACGAAACACCTTTTGGTCAATGTCCAAGCCTTTGAATTGGCACTATTGAACAAGCAGGCTTTGGACTAATAAAATGACTGACAGTCCCTGGGTGCAGAATCGAAGATATAGATTGTTCGAGAAGAAAAAGCATGCTGAAAAAGAGAGAGCATGGGTCCATATAGAGCAAATCAGCACAGCTCAAGAAAGGCTCTAATGGAAGCAAGGGTGAGTAAACTGAATAATCTAATGGCATTTTGATGGATGGTGACACATATATTCTCCTTTAAGTAATGCATAATTGGAGACATAGTCCATAAGCATTCATGTCGGCATGTGTCATGCACATCTGACACTTAGCAACAGGAGCCATGGGCCCCCCTCCCCACCAGGGTCCAGCACATTCATTACAGTGCCGAATCTTGGGCTGGATTAAAAATTCATGCTGTTTACAACAACAAAAGGCCCCCGTTAAAGAATATGAGCCTACTGCACAAAGGCTCCACCAAACCGTGAGCAGATCACCACATCTCTAAGGAGACCGGTGCGTCTGAAATGTGTAGCTAAAGCTACCTCTGCACACGGTTCGGTCTGTGTAGCTTCATTTGTTATAGTGGTATCAATAATACACAGTTTACAGTAGCATGCGGTGACAGCAGCCTACGGGCGCATGAATAAGGACACGATTCTGTTAAAACCTTACACATTGTCATTCTGTTTTCACTTCACACTGTCCTCAACAGGGGGAGAACAGGGCCCTCTCAGCTCATCGATGAGTTGTCGGTGATTTGTTGGCAGAGAGAGCAGGCTCATGAGCTGTATTCAGTCTTAATTAGCCCACTCGGCAGCGATCATTATATCAGAGTCCTGTGGTGACGTTTGATTGCATTGTCCCAGTGGGAGGGTGAGGCTTTACCAATAGGGGAGCACCACACACACACACTGAAGCTGGACTGAATACTGCCCACTTAAGAGCCTGGTTTCATATACACTACTTACTAAGTAGATCTTATGGGTCATTTTCATTAAGACAATTAAGCATCATAACAGCATTTCCATACACTGCCGCTCACACACCATGCTAAAAATATACTTATGTATGGGGAAAATTGTTCTCAATGCTATTAGTTAACTGCAAGATGGCTGTAAGAAAAGGTCTCTCTCAACAAATCAGACGACAACATACTTATTTATTTATATGACTGAGCAAGTGCAAGTTAAAGACGCACTTTTATTAATCCCTGTAGGGAAATGCCTCCACTGCATTTGACCCATCCTGATGCCACTAAGGCTTACGTCAGGAGCAGTGGTCGCCGTAGTACAGCGCTCAGGAACCCATCTCCAGATGTTGATGCTCGGCTTGGTCAGGACCGGAGCTTGAGGATTTAACCTAGTGAGCATGTTTTTAGTTAATGAACAAACATGATCAAACACTTGAATGTAAACACACCCAATTGGAGCTGGAGGCTAGTTTCCATTCGTCTTTATCTTATTAAAAAACATATTATGTTCGTGGCTGGATTTTGAGGGTGAATGTTGCTTTTTCTTACTACAGTTTTATTGTTTCTGTTATAATATATGATATTTGTACAGTATTGATATGATGCACATGTACTGTAAAACTGCTAAAAACTGTTAAACAACTTTAAAGAAAGAAAACATTTTGTTTTACATACTGAGAGCTGAGTGAGGGCTGAAACTTTCCCTTTTCTTTTACAGTAGGTCCCATTCCGTTTTGTCGCCTTTCACGCGTGAATCACACGTGAGTCTCGTGTGATTCACGCGTCTTTTATTTTCCCCCCTCCCAGTGATGCTGCAATGACCAAAACAACCACCAGGTGGCACTTGTGAGCAGGGTTACATTGGCCAGTCTCTGGAATAACCCGCAGACATTAAAACTACTGCACACTGAGAAAAGTGTTGCAAGCGCAACTTTGAACCTAAGTACTTGTATTTGCAATTTCGGACTTAAAATTTATTCTTATGGTTTTAATATTAGAAAAATAATTTCCATTTACTAAAACAAAAACAATATACCCACAAATACGTTTTGTGTGTGTATTTAACTAAATTTTGAAAAAATATTGTTGGCAGTGCAGTGCTTCTTAAATCTGACGCTATCAATAAGTGTTCAGACAAAGTAATTTCTACTGGGCGGGAGTTTGCTTCCGGTTCGGACCGTTTCCGCGAGCTTGTTGTTGGTGATGGGCGCCGAGCCAGCCTTGGACACGGTCGTGTGGTTTCCCGTGAGATCCAACTCAAAGTAAGATTTTTTAAATATATGGTGCTTTCTCTGTAAGGTTTGTCGCGTATTTGATCAAATATATACAATCTGTGGTCAAATCGTCGTTTTATTTTCTTGGCAGTTCGTGTCCAAAATTACTTCATGTTAACTGTCTACTGTAGCCCCAAACATGTTGTTAGCATAAAACTGTGCCAGTATAATGGTCCTACAATTTCGTTGTTTAGCAAAGTGATTTGTGTTAAGACTCGTAACATTACCAACTACCCCTTAAATGTTCTGAACCATAATAACAGGCGTAGTTTTCGCAGTTTGGAGCTGCTAGCTTCTAGCTAGCTGTTGCTAACGGTACGCAGCTAACATAAGTAGACCAAAGTCGCTACTGTCCTGCTCTGTCTTGTTGCCGGAGGTGCAAGTGGAAAATACAGTTGGCAACAGAAGCCACGTGACATTTATTAATCTTCTATTATTTTCTACTCTTGGGGACAGTTCATTTCCCCGCAGAAGTCCCTAGTTACATTAGCTCAGCGGAGCAACTCTCAAGGAGGAGACAGGTGCAGAGCATGGTGCGGAGGCAGAAAACATGTTTATTGCTATCTGAGATCGCTCTGATTTCCTCGCGGTCAGAAAGTAGCTTGTTTCAGCAGCAAACTAACGTTAAGTTAACAGCTACTGCATGTTGTTAATGTTATGACCCGTCCGCATCAGCATCACTGTATTATATCAAGGCCTGTCTGTTTTAGCCAATGTGCAGCTATATGGTTAGTTATGATAAGTTCAAATACATTCAGAAATCTGCAGCACATTTAAAAAACCCAAACAAAGTATAAGTGATACATTATAAACATGCATTTTTAAAAGAACATACTGAGGGTGACTGCTATAGCCTATTGCAGTCACAAAATTAGAGTGGAAATGTTAAAAATCTAATGTGC